CACCGATTGATATTACCAATCTGTCCCAATCAGCTCTCAAACCAGACCATCTGGTCCTTAATGTGAATCTGCAGAGTAAGCTAAAGTGACTTAACACAGTATGACTTTGTGATTTTGTTTGTTTTGTTTTGTTTATTAGTTTAGGTTTATGTTTGCCTCAGACTCTGTGTGATTCTGCTCATTTTCAAATAATAGTTTATATATAAACGTGACCCATCAAGGACAGGCGGGTATAGATAATGGATAGACGGACGAATCTTTTCAAAGTGGATTTCTGAAAAGTTATAGATAGTTATAAAATCATTAGCTGTAAGAATTTAATGTCTTTCATGTTATTTCCATAACATCTTAGTTGAATAGAAAAAGGCCTCTGATGCTGCAGATTTAAGTACGGAGACTGTGTTGGCCCTTGGAGGATTATTTTTCTATGTATTAAGAACCATAGAATCCTGTAATGACCCATTTTCATCTTTCTGGTCAATGTCACCAGACTTGTATGTGAAAGGTCCTGGTATTTCTAAATGCTCATGATGCCATGCACTGTGACAAGTCTCCCAGAAACACTGAAATCTCAGACCCTCTGCCATACCAAACATTGGGTATGAAGTACCACAGATTCATTTAGTCTCACCTGCCTGCAGCACATGGTCCCAGAAGAGAAACATTTAATAATGGCTTATTTGTGGTAGGAAAGAAGTTCATTAAGTTCATTGTGTGTCTTTACATATTCACTACCAGATCATCTCTGGGCAGTATTTATTTATTGGGGTGAAGATTTTGGTGATCCCAATATGTCACTGTTTGCTGCAGTTCTCTAACAATCTCTTTTGGAAACATGACATTTCTAGTTAAAGTAAATTCTGTCCCAGAAACTGCTTCTCCAGTCCAAGCTATTGTTCTGAGTCCTGAATATGAAAGCTTGATGACTGATTTAGACTCTTATTTTGAAACAAAACAGTCAGTATTGTAGTTCCTGAGTTATCCTGGCCTCATATGATATGTTAGAACAGCACCTGTGACACCTTTTGTGGCACAGAAGATATTACAAACTAATGACGAGAATGTGCATAAGAACATGTTGCTTTAACTTAAAAATTTGGTCCTACTCTTTTTTTACATAAAATGTAGAAGCCTTGTGTGGCCTGCTCAAAGCAGCAAAACTATTCACAAATAAATCTTGCTTCTTGTTTGTTTTTTGTTTTTTTTTAGAGTGCTATAAAAATGCACCAAATTCAAGCAGATTTTCATAAATGTACGACACATCGAGAAGTACTGAAAGATCATAAACGTAAGAGACAGGTATTGGCTTTTGTCACCTGCTCACGCCTTGAAACACACTCCAATCCTTAAAACTATCTTCAGACTCAGCCTTCCTCTCATCTTGGGCATCTGAATTTTTCCGTCTCCCCAGATTGGAGGCAGCTGTGGCTGCTGGCTGGCTTCAAGCTGTGGGAGGCTACAGCGGGCCAGCAGGGAGGAGCTCCAGCATCTGGAAAAGAAAAACTGACCAAAGCGCCAAGACAAAAAAAGACAAAAAAAAAAAAGACTCTTTTGTTACACTTTTCATGGATTTCTACCCTGCAAAAGAAAAAAGAAACAGTATGTTTTAATGGTGCACAGTTAAATCTTCTGCTGGCATTTCTTTTGCTTCAAAAGTGCAAAATGGAGACGAAATGACAGAGTAATGGTAGCAAGGGAAAACTGCTTTTGCTGAATTTGAACCCTCTGGGTCTCTCTTAATGTAAGGGTGTGTCTAAATGTGGGAGGAAAAAAAGGGGAGGAGATTCAGACGTCTGTGCGTCTGCTGGACAGGAAGTACCTAAATCCAGCCTCACTTCTGCATACAAGACCTGCTAAGCTATCAGTATTAAACTTATTTTATTAAATATATTTTTAGCCCTTGATAAAAGCTCTATGTAAAAGTTCAAATGAATTATTATTTTACTAACTAACCTCAAAGAATATTTTAGAGAAATTCAATGATGAATGTATGTCCTGTCATTCAGTGGGGGAAATTTGTTACTGGAGCTTTTTTCTCATTCATATTTAAACATTTAATTGTTATTTTTATTGCTTTCTGTTTACCTGGAGTGGAAATAAATTAACATAAAAGCCTGTGTGTTTTTCTAACATATTTGGACATATAGATTTACACTGAATCTGAACCATAGTGAGAAATCTACACAAATAAATAAGAAATACCATACATTTTATGTGAAGTGTGGTATAAAAAGTTTATTCTAATGCAAAATAAATTATGATAATTATGATAATAATATTCAGTGATATGAGTCTAAATTTGTTATATTTAGACACCAGAATAAAGCAGATATTAGTCATAAATAAAGTAGAGCGTTGCAGGAAAATAAGCTTACACCAACTGGGAGAATAGAGCAGGAAGTGTCATGGTTTGGGGATACTTTGCTTCACCAGGACCTGACCAGCTCATCCACCTCATCCACTGCGACGTCTACCTAATGAGACAGGGTACTCTTAATAGGTAGAGTACCCTCTACCTATTGTTAGGGAAAAAGATTGAAGCTCAAGACACAATAGGGCAAACAAACATGCATTCACACCCTCAATACTGAGGGTGAGTTAGACAGCTAACTAAACAGTCACTGCGGGTCAAGAGGTTCCCACACATGCACAGAGATATCACACAAAGTCCTTGTCAGGATTTGAACTGCAAATCTTTCTGCTGTAAGGCAACAGTGCTGCCAGTTTGTATCTATTCACTCATGAATTTTCACTCTAACCTCACCTTGGAAACACTGATTTATCCCTTTAATTAGTGATTTCAGCTTGCCGTTAGGTGTGGTTGTCTGCCATGTGTCTCTCTGTTTGTCCTGTGATCTACAGGCGATCTTTCCTGGGTGTACCCTGCCTGCTGTCTGGTTAACTATTTCAGGGACAACTACCATCCTCTGGCTGAACAGGAGGTTAGCAAGAAAAGAAAAACCTTTGGTAATATATAGTAATCTACAACTGCAAAGAAAACCTTGACCTCGTCATAAAAAGTTAATCAGGTTCTTGATTATCACCTTTGTGGAAAGATGAACCAGCCTGTAGGATTTAGCATCAACTAAAATGCTACTTTAAAATGTTTTGAGCTAATTCGTTGGGCGACCATGGGTGATCAGAGTTAGTATCACGCTGTGGAAATCATGCAATTACATAAATACTAGAGATATTTTAGTTTCAGGTGAGTAAATAGTCTAACTACCAGTCGACAGTCTGACTCCCAGACTCTCACTGAAACTAAGGGATCCTCCCTGAAGAAAGTAGGAGCAACCTTTCATGTTCATTTCTCAAGTAATACCCTTTTATCATAACAGAGTAATTACATGTTATGAGCTACCAAATTTCCAGCTATGCAAAGACAGCAACATTAACTCCTTCTTCTCACTTTGCTTCAGTTTTTAATTTGACCATTTTATAATTTCCCACTCTTCGTATTAACACAACTTTAAAGAAATACGTTCACCTGTATGTGTTTTCTGAGTGTCAGTGCTAGCTTTCCCTGGGTTGCACAGCAGAGCGATGAAAGCTAGTAGAGCTGGAGAGGTACCAGCATCCCACCGTTCGCCTGGACACAGGGTCCATTCATCCCTTCCCGTCCCCTCAGTCATCCCCTGCGGACCTCAATTTGTCGGCCAACCTGCCCAACGTTTGCTGAGGAAATGTTCACTTAGTGCAGGAAATCTGAGGTTTCGCTTTACACGTTTGATTTCAGCGGTTGCCCAAACAACACCGGGGGTACGAGTCAGGTCAGAAAAACAAGGGTGGGAACTAAACCCAAAGGAGCCGTGAAACCTCACTTCACCTGTGTCAGATATTTATAATACTAGCTAAATTTTCTAAAGCCTAACTTAGGCAGTATTTAATGTAGTTATTTGCTGACATGCATGGCAGCAGACATTTATTAGCCCAATTTGACTGAACTATTATAAAAATCATTCAAATATTTTAGTTCAATGTTTGAATTTTAGTCAGAGAACTCCTAATTAAATTATTTTAAAAATGTGGTTATGCTATTTTTGTTGGTATACATTACATACATAGCAAAGCCCCAAACTGTGTTTACAAAACGGTAACAAAAAAGATATTTACAACAAAGAAATGTGTTCAACAAAAGAAATTTTCAGAGGATAATTTCATTTGTCAAAGGAAAATACTTCAATGTTGTTGTTTGTTTTGTTGTTTGTTTTGTTTTATCATTCCGAGTTGGATTTGTTGCTGTTTTACTGATCATCATCCTTCTGCATTAACCTATTGCAACTGAACTTAAAGTGCTAAGCCGATGGCTCAATGTTATGGTGTAGGATTTTCTAGTCAGAAAGGAGAATTAATAGTTCAGTTAATCAAAGTTGTTGGTACATTTGGAAAGAACACAGGGGTTATGTCGATAAAGCTGGTGGGAAAAAAACTGAAAACATGGCTTACATGATCAATAGCTCATTGAATTTTTTACTCTGGTTCTAGTTGCTCTCAGTGACACTAACATTCTGATACTGTTCAAAGAATAATGTAAATTTTCAGTATGAACTAATGCAAAAATAATTATGGATTCTCAGTTAATAGAGTGCCATTTGCATCAACAGCTGTTGCATTTTTGAGAATGTTGATTTTAGTTGACAGTAAAAAGAGAATTCTCTGTTTAATCAAAGTGATGATGCTAACAGTTATCTTCTGCAGGCAAAATATTTCAATATGTGGTCCTCACATCTCAGAATTACTATTCAAAATATCTGAACTATCGCTTTAAAAGAAAGTTTCATCCCTATTAAAACCAGCCTGAGGTTCAGAAAAAAATACAAGCATAATACCAAAAGTTATAAAATATAAAACATAATTCAATGTCCAACCCCTTTTATATCATAATATTTTACAGGTAAGATCCAGATCACAACAAAAAATTCATAAAATTTTTTGTGTGCTGATCCAATTCTCCATCTTTTCATATAAATATTTCCACACTTAAAGAAAACGAGAACGTCTACATATTATTACATAATTTTTATTATGTAATAATAATAATAATTAATCACATTAAACCATGTACAAATATGAAATCACATCTACCTCTTTGAAATCATACACTGTACTGGCAAGTCTTTCTGCACCAAGTTTTTGCACTTTCATTATCATCCTGCGGGGGCGGTAGTGAGCAGCACCCCCCTTACAGTTTCTTCTTAGCCAGCTGGGCCAGCTCCCTGGCTTTCTTTCTCTTCAGCTTCTTTTTGAGGATGAGTAGGTTGATGTAGACAATGTGATCCAACACAGTGGAGGCGCAGAGGAGTCCGCCATGCAGAGCGCCAGCAATCCCACAGCTGAACACATCTTGACCTGAAAGAAAGAAAAAAAGACGCTCACTGATGAAGTCAGTACACAGCAAAACCCCCACACACTATCTATTTCAGTATGATGCAAATTAAAAAGAGGTTTCTCTGTCTGTGACAAATACTCAAAGTAAGAGATTGTAACATTTTCCACACCTGAGATGTAAAGGTTTTTAACAGGAGTGCTGCTTCTGTTCCTGGCTACAGCCTCAGCAAAGAAACGCTCCACGTTGTGCTCGGCAGAGTACATGGCTCCACGTTGAGCTCCCAGGTAGTGCATGTTGGTCAGCGGAGTTGCCACATCTTGGAAAACAAGCTGAAGAACAGTTTTTCCAAAATGATGTCAAAAAAGATTATGTTTTTTCCAAATTACTTGAACGCTTAATTACCCAAAAGGTAATTTGGATAATATGAATCTGTCAAAATCAAATTTTGACAGATTTTACCTTGTCTTTGATTTTAGGAAACACGGTGCAGGCCCAGTCAAAGAGGTTCTTTGTGAATCTCATTTTGTAGTTGTAGTATTCATCTCCTCTTTTTCGCACGGTAGTATCCTTCCACTCTTCGAACCATTCATATTTGACCATGGTCAGAATTGTCATGCAAGACTTTCCTGAAAGCATAACAGACAGCAAATGTATATCATTTTGAGTCAAATTTAAGAACAGAAAAAAGATTCCTGCCCCCATTTTGGTGTCAAAATGAGGAAAGAAGCAACTTTATTTACCTGGATGACGTATCTTTGCTTCAGGATCTTTTGCAGATGGTATTGTGATGAACATCATCGGGATGTTATCAGGTGCTTCTTCTTTGCTCAATGCAAAAAAGTCCTCCATCCTACAAAATTCATAATAAAATTGTTTATGTTTAGTTTGATATTCTGGGGGGCTGCATAAAAATACACGCCAAACTTTTCAGACTTTGTTGTAGACCTTGAGAGCCATGTCTCCTTTTCTCCCACTTTGAAATTATGCACTACTTTGTGTTAGTCTGTCACACAGAAGATCCCAATAAAATACATGACAGTTTGTGGTAAGTGACAAAATGAAAAAAAGTTCATGGGTGAAGGGTATAACGAGTTTTACACGTGAGGACGTTTTCTAGTTTCTTTCTATGCAATAGCACCCTCTTGTGGTAAATACTTTCAAGTTCTAGGTCTGATCTAATTTCTTCTACTCACGACTTATCCATGTCGTTGTCTTTGAAGAGCCAGAAATTTGTAGAGACAAGACCCAGGTCCTCTGTAGTTCCATCAAAGCCAGAAAAGATCAACAATGATCCTCTGCCATGTTTCATCATGCTCAGTCTTTCCTGAATATCTATGAAGTGAAACTTTTATAAGCAACTTAAAGAAAAACATCTTTGTAGCCCACCTTTAATTTGAGTAGAAGCAGCTCATCAGCATACTGACCATGTTTGACCTGAATCTCAGGTGGTAGAAGTTTTTGGAACGTGGTAAAGACGCCACAGTTTGAAACCACCACAGGTGCGTGGACCTCAACTTCGTCCTGGCCTTTCTTCACCTTCACACCTACCAAACATACACCAAACGTAAAGTCTTGACCTTCAATGAGTGAAAACATTCTGGTTTCACTTCTCACCATAGGCCGCTCCATTCTCATCCACCAGGATCTGAGAGACAGGAGCTCTGACCAGACAGCTCCCTCCGTATTTCTGAATAGTTCTGATGATATGGAAGGCAATCTCACTGGCTCCACCTTTTGGGTAGTAAGCTCCTCGTTTGTAGTGATGGATCAGGAGAGCGTTGATCAGAATGCTGGATTCCTTTGGAGGCACACCTAAATGGGACGTGAATAGCATTCTAGGAAGTAAGTTTCAGGGACTAATTATTGATGCTCCCTTTTGATAAACGTAAAATGCTAACTTTGAGACACACCGTAGAAAAAGTAAGAAAAGATGACTTGGAGGTCTTTGTTTTTGGTCAGAGTGTTCATGAAGTCAGTCGCTGGTGTGCCAGACAGTTGGAAGACTGGAGAGATGAGATCTGCGATGCCTGACTTCAGCAGAAACAAAGAGACCCACTGAGGAATAAGCTTCATGCTTGCCAGGTAGTGGGTCTTCTTAGCTGAGAGCTGTTGCAACATAAAAAACATTTATTAAACTCTTTAAAATGAACCATACACTAAGTGATAGATTTTCTATAATCAATACCTTCATGATTTTGAAGAATTTCTCAATAGCCTCTGTTTCGTTTGGAAATTGCTCAATCAGGCGGGCTTTCATTTCATGTTTTCCAGTGAAAATCTTGTACTCCCGTCTCTCATCACCACTGCCGATTTGAACAGTGTCGACATGCGGCTGCAGCTCCTGAAACTCCAGCTGGCCCTCAGTGATCTGGTCAAAGGCAATTCGAAGCAAACTGTTTTCATGGACTTGACCAATGTAATGAAGACCTGAAGAAAAAGAGTGACAGACAAGGTCCCAACAAAGAACATTATATTTATTCAGAAACTGAATAAAAGAACAGCTGTAAAACAACTGTAAAAAACAGAAAGAAAAAAAATAATGCAAATGGAACTGAAACCTCATTCATTGCACATGCACAGAAAAAATAAAACATTTTCTAAATTAAGTTAGAAAAGTAAAAGTTTGATGTAGGAACACCTTAAAACAAACTTACTCTGGTGTTTGGCTGGTTATTGTGTTGGGTATATTTATGTGCTAGAATGTCCTAGTCAAGGTCCAGATGTAAACTCAACTGAAAATCTATAGCAAGATTTGAAAGCTGATGTTCACAGATTCTTTTCATCTGATTAAGGTTGGGAGGCTTTTTAATTTTGCCTATAAATGAGTGAAAAATATCAGTTTCAAGCTATGCAACGCACTTGTAGTAGACATACCTCAAAGTATTGACAAATTGGCATCGAATACTATTGCTTTGCACTTTGCAAGTTTTGTGAGCTGAAAAGTTTTGAAAACCAGATTATGTTTTTTGTTTAGTTTCACAAACCTAAACTGTCACCTGGACTCTTAGTACAATTTACTAAGATTCCGATAAAACACACTAATTGTATATGTGGCTTATGAGACATTTTGTATATGTTTAATTCTTCTTTTTATGACACAGTTGGAGAGCATAGTGACCTGGCTTTCCTTTAATCAACAACCACAATCATACCTGAAGTTGTTTTGAAATTATATGGAAAGATCCCTTACCAACATCAAACTCAAAGCCCTTCTCTATGTACGTGTGGCAGCAGCCTCCAGCCTGGTCATGCTGTTCCAGGACCAGAACCTTCTTTCCTGCCTTGGCAAGTGTGGCCGCCGCTGACAGTCCACCAATGCCACTTCCGATTACAATCACATCCAGGTTCTGGGGCACTTTGTCGACACTGAAACCTGGACAGGAACACACAGGAATGCCTTTAATCAGGTTTTGTTCCACGCTATGGACTCACAAAAGTGCTGAGATTGACACTTCAGTTCATGTTACATAATTGTTTTTCAGAGCTCAGTCTGAAGGTTGGCTTTGAGGACATAAATACTGAAGATGTGACAATGGCAGGATATGGTTCTGTTATCAAATTTACAATTTCCAACCTGATTTAGATAAAACACCCATAAACATGTAGTCACACGTCTGCTACTTTAGATGTGATCTCCAGTCTGATAAATGGCATGTTAAGAAAGTGTTTATACAAATGCATTTGTTCAAATCCATAGCGGTCGTAGCATAAGTAAAACAGTTTTCAGAAAATTAAAAGGAAAAAATAAAACTCACGGGAAATATTGGCTGAAAATAATACATGTTTCAAATGGAAATTAATTAAGAACCGTGGACGTCATCACACTTCTGGAGAAGTCATATTCAGTAAATAAAAATATCCAAGACTTGTTCAGATTAAAAGTACTTTAGAGTTCGCAGTTGGTTCCAGAGGAAGAACATAGCTGATAATTTGAGACTTTCAGGCTTCGTATTGAGGCTCCTGATTGGTTTGAAGGCAGCTTGTTTGGTAAAACAGTTAAAATCACTTCTGAACAGTTTACGAGATTTGTTTTTCCAAGCACCGTGGAGATCAACAGGAGATCACTTGAAGCTGTACTAACAAAGTTACTCAGTAAATGGGTGCATAGTGGTGCAATGAGCAAAACTGTTCCTTTGCAGCACAGGGGCCTGCATAGAGCTTATATGTTCTTCCCATTCACTTTGGCTTCCTCATACAATTAAAATATATGACTGTCTCTCTAAGTTCCCGGTACATTTTTGTACTGTGTGCTCCTGGGATGAACTGTGGATATAGCATGGACAGTGGTTTATGACCACTATAGATGGGTACCAGCCCCCCTCGTGGTTGATAAAATAACATTTTACTTTACATCAGTAGGACTATTAACAATAAACTTACTGAGAAATATGCTGCCATATTCAGCATCTGCATTAGCGTTACCTTGTTTGATGACTTTGTCTCTCTTCTTCTGGTCAAACTCACGGGGCGCCGGGGGTCTCACAGACTCCAGGGAGAACGGGTTGGGCTTACCAAATAGGTACCAGTAGGTGCCACCGGCCCATATAACCAACGAGACTAAAAGAATGAGCAGCCACATTTCTGGATAAAATGAGATAGTCTGACAGTGTCCTCAGCTGTTCTGCACGACAAATTGTTCAGAAGTCTCCTTTTTATTATACTGCAGTCCTGAGCCAAAGGTCTTGGGACTGATATGAAACACTATCTGCGTTACAAAGAGCAGCACAGATAAAGCGAAGAAAGATCCACTTTTTTTACGATTACAAAACATATATGGATCTTCAGTAATAACTGTGCTGACAACAATATAAAATAATATTTATTCTGTTTTTCTGAATGTTTTTCATTTGTTTGTCCTTGGGCTTGCTCACATTTTGATAAAGTATTTGATGGATCACATGCAAACATTTCAACTTGTGTTGCCTACATTCTCCAAACTGGGCGGCAACTTTCTTTTTTAACAAACATTTTTACATTCATATTTACCAGTAAAAGAACGAAAGCTAATGTTTTCCAGTTTATTTGTTGGTTAGCTTAATTTTCAAAGAATATCTGGACAACTCAAAGAGCATGGAGGAATTTGAATTGATTAGATAAATCCTTGTGAAATTGCTTCTACCTGATAAGGCAATTAAGATAATTTGCCTCCAAAGACGTTTGTAGACTTCATGCATGTCAGTACAACAGTGCAGCTGATTAAAGCAATGGGTTTCAGAACCCAGGTAATGTCACACATATACTTTACCCTGAATAACTTGGCAATGAAAATGTCTCCTATAAAACCTGAGAAACCACAATTCATAAATAATACTTTCATACTTAGAAGAGTGTTATTTCACTGTAGAGACAACTTACTCAATAAAAATTTTTTATTTCATTAAAGGTTTTGAACATAAATTATCATCTGTCATAATGTTGATGTTATAAAATTGTATGTATTTAAGATTATTAAAGCAAAGATTCTATTCTACAATTCATTTTACTCTATTCATAGAATACTTTGCATTATGCTGAATAAAGATACAAACTTTCAGTTAATCTAACTATTTAAGCTAAACCTGTGATCCTCTATGCATTGATCATCCTTCTAGTTATGGTCCTTAAAAGACAGACAAACTATTTCTTTTGTTACAAAGGAAAGAGAAATTCAGTTTATTGGGCTCAGGCTGAAACTAATTGGATGAAGCGAGCAGATTGGAAGCTAACGAAGAGTGAAAAAAGCTTATAGACTTTGAAACAGGAAGCCACTCTGTGTCAACAGGCCGGCTTGATAAACCATGCTGAACCAAAGGAAATCCTATTAACGTTAAATTCAATTGGAGGCTCTGGCGGTTTTGCAGTAACCTGGGTCAGAAAACACTGACCAATAAACATGTTTTCACTGCTGCTTTGTATAAACTGAATAGGTAAAAAGACCTGAGCATCAATGATAAAAGCAGACAGAAGATATTTTAATCTATTTTTATTTATTTACAAATTAACCCACTGGCATGCTGAAAACTACTGTGCTGATAGAAACACTGATACACACCTTCTGTTTCTTTCATTTATACATTTAAATCAGAAAAAAAAAACACTACAAAGAAACCAACTCTGACAGAAATAGAAATTCTTCCTTGGATGATTGTATGCTATGTTATAGTACAGCCTCCTTTGTCTCCCTTGTAAGGGTTCTTGTCATCTGGAACTCCCTTAATCAGCGGATCGTTTGGCAAGAGTCCTTCAACATAAGCAATTGTGTCAGTACAATTTGCACTCACCTGTTGAGGAGGAAATATGAGACACTGTCAACATGTTGCCAAAAACAATACAACGGTAAACTGTTTGATGCTTTTAGGATTGTTCGAGCGAGCTTTCGCAGCTATATGAGAGAGAAGTTGTTAGAATTAGATACTTACTGCTGTTCTTGGTGTGCTCACTTCCTTTTTCAATTGTTCCAGTTCCATTTTCAAGATTTCCTTGTCTGACATATCCCGAGCCATCCTGGCTGCGGAGAGAAAACAAAATCCTGGCTTCAAAAGATTTCAAGGATAGTAGTGAATTCCAAAATGTTTTCTTTTGTGATATCTGTAGGTTCATCCAGATAACCTTTCATCTTTCAGTTTCTAAATCAAAAAAGCAACAAAATGAATGTTACTTGAGTGTTTACCTGTCGAATGGCGGGATCCCCAACACTGAGAGAAATGTTTTGGCTCCTAAGAGCTGTGCGCCTTCCTGCCGTCTGGTTGCCTCTCTCCACTAACTGAACTGCGCTGTCCCACTGCTCCTCATTTACAGCTGATCCCCGACACCGGCTTTCATTTGAGGTCGCCACCAGATTGGAGGACCTGATGTCACCAATCCCCAGTGATGAGATTAAACAATCAAGGAACTTAACTCCTGAAACAGGAAGAGCACCGTCACCAGCTACACGCAGAAAGCGAGAATATGACATTTGAAAAGTGAATTCACAGAATCATCTGTACTTAAGTTGCCAGACAAAAACACCTAGAAGAGTGCTTTTCAATCTACCATCTTACAATAAAGAATGAAAAATTATAAATCTACCAAGAAATGGACACTCATCTCTTTTGCAAAGTAGAACGAGCTAAATTTTTGTCTTCAGAATCTCTAAACTCAGAAAAGGTTCCAGGTGTAATTGTAGTGAAAGATGGTTATAAAGAGTATCTAATCATCCTGTATACTATGTATGTATGAACATATGCATGAATACATGCATATATGCTTAAATCCATACATTGATGGATGAAAAGTTGGTCTCTTAGTGTTTTGAAGTTACTTTAGCAAACAAGAGAATAAATCAACCAAGATCTTCAGATCAGTGTGAGTTTTATTGTTTAGGTTCTTATTGAAGTAATGTTCTATTTAGAAATTGACAGTATTAAGTGATGATTTGATTCAACAGGTAAAAATTTTGATTACTTTGCACATTTGCCACCTTCTGTATTATGCACATCTTCCGAAAAGCTTAAGTCTTTTATATAAATATGAAATGGGTTTTATTGTTGTTCTATTTTATTTACAGCACTCTCTTGTCATCACCTCTTTATAACATTTGATGTGAGATGCAAGACAAGCCAGTGATCAGCAGCTCAGCCTTCCGCAGAACTCACACTAAGCCATTTTCAGGATCTGGGTTAGTACTCAGGATTAACCCCACACACGTCACATAGATTATCGGGTTGGAGATGCTTCTTATGAATGTGGGCAGTCATTGTGCACCTAGAGGGCTGTCTTTCTTCTTTGGATAAAGGGAAACAGCAACTTGCAAAAAGGAACTTTTTTTATTTATGTAGTTATTAAACAAATATATATATATATATATATATATATATATATATATATATATATATATATATATATATATAATATATATATATATATATATATATATATATATATACATATATATATATATATATATATATATATATATATATATATATATATATATATATATATATATATATATATATATATATATAGATCTGACATTTGTATCACAATATCTACATATACATGGAAATATTATTTATTTATTTATTTATTCAGATTACATAATTTGCCTGGTTTTACTGATTCCTGGATTTATTAATGTTCGCCAATATATTTATTTGATACAATGAATCTTTCGAATGAACTATAAAGTCTTTATAGTTATACATTTATTGATTGATGTATTAAATTGATGTATTAAACAAGATTAGTTTTTTTTTTCGATTCAGTCACTAAGTATCAGACGTCAGTAACTATAACTAATGTTGTTAAAAAATGTAATAATTAAATTTGTCCTCTAGATGGCGGACAAGATCTCTTTTTACAATATATATCTCAACATGTAGACAATCTTAGCCAATCAGAACGCTTTACCTGGGAACTTGACCACTTCTTCAAAATAAAAGCTTCCTTGTGTCTCTTTGAAAGGCAGCTGGCTCACAGGCTGCAACGTGGGACAGCCACATTCTTTTAATTTGACATGAAAAAGGTGTTCATTGGTCGGAAGTTCAAGTATCTGGTAGGCTGACTGGCGGATGGGATACATGAGCTGGAAGCTATGGCAGGTCCAAGTAGGAAGCAGATGTTAAGGTTTCTCGGCCAACTTGGGGCGTTTATTCTGACCCGGTTCGGATTCTGGAACTGCTTCAGTATGCTGATGCTGTTCGCTGAAAGAGCGGACTCAAAGAGGTAAAATGCAGCGTGCAGTTTGACGCAGAGCTTCCAGCTAACCTTAGCAGAGAGAGCTAACGGCAGTTCAAGGCAACTTTCTGACTCTATAAATACCTGGAGCTAATAAATATTAAAAGAGAGATAGAAAAAAAACATTCAGTTCACGACTTTATGTCTCTTTTCCGTTGTTTGTGGCACACCGAGTATCTAAATGAGCTGTATTTTATTTGCACAATTGAAAAGCTGACTTTAAATGTTCCTGTAAGTTCAAACAGCAGTTCATATTTAACTTAATAATCTTTAATATTTAGCCCGACAGATCTTTGGACGACTTTCCACCCCAATTGACTGCTTTCATTTCTCCGTGTGGTTGGGTTCCTGAAACCCCACACATCCACGCCCCTCCAGCTTCTCCTGTAATTATGTGCTATAAGAAGGCAACAATGGAGGCCATATTCGTACTAAGCACAGTTTTAACATTATACTCTTACACTCTTTTAAATCTGCTTGAGTAAATTACATTAGATTATCAAGTGTAAGTTTATCAATGCTCAGTAAAGTTTCATTATAGCTTTCTTCAATTTAGTCTAAAAAGTTTTTTGAAAATATGTCTTAATAAATTAGAGTATGATTGAAAAAAAATAAAATGTATTAAAAAAAAGCTTCCTTTATTGTATAGAGTTCTTACACAGTGAAAAACATATATATGTTGTATAGATAATGGAAACTCCACATCAGGTCTGTCAGAAAGTTATTATCATTAGCATATTTCATAACAAGAAGAAAAGGGGGAATTTTAATGACCAAATGCTGCTCTACTTCCGAAGTATTATAAGAATATTTGGTATTATTCAGAATTTTATTCATTAGAAACAAGGCAAAGCCTACATTCAGAAAAAAAACAACAACAAAAATAAACAATTACTGTCCCTCTCTAGTAACCCCTTTAACTTGAAAGCTAATTTGCAGTTCCAACCATGGGTAGCCTTTTAAAAACTAAAAGGTACAGTTACATAAAGTCACATTATATAATAACGTAAGATATAGTAAGTCATAAAGCAACTGAATAAACAACATAACTTAGACATTAAGTCTTCTGATTCTCTTTCCTCTCCAGAAAACCGGACATCCATGTACCATACCTATATATTGACATGGGAGCAGCCGTCCTCTGCGCTAGTTTTATGTCATTTGGAGTGAAGAGGAGGTGGTTTGCTCTGGGTGCCACCATGCAGCTGGCCATCAGCACTTACGCATCCTACATCGGAGAGCAGGTGCATTATGGGGACTGGCTAAAGGTGAGTGAAGCTCCTTGATTTACAGTGTTGAGTCAACTTCGTCCACTTAGCAAGTCAAAAAGCGCAAAATCCTTTACATTGAAAACAAGCATAAAATAGACAAGATTAAACTATTAAAGCAATTATAAAAACACAATGCATAAAACATCATACATCCTCAAGTGATTTAAAAGAACAGTAGAGCTGAATATCAGCATTAAAATTATATAAATATATTTGAACTGAGTTACACTTTCTGTTTTGATCATATTCATCTGACAGATCTAAGATCTGGGAGGGACTCATGAGAAAGTGAGCCAAGCTTTATGGAGGATCAACATGGAAAGAAGATCTGAATTTGTGAAAGAAATAGTTTAAGTCAAAGCACCTTTTTATTTTGGTCAATTAATAATTTCGTTCATCTTTTCGTTTCATGCTTGCATGCATCTGCTCATTGATACTTCTGTCCAGCCGTTGATTAAGCAGACAATCTATCCATCAGTATGTCCATTTATCCTTTAGTCCATACTTCTAACCTTTCGTCAGTCTAACGATCCCATCATGCAGGTTTTATATTTGATCTTGAGCTCAAAAAATGACTGCATACTCTTGAGTTTTGAAAACTGTTAAATATTTTCTTGCAGAACATGAAGGAACATTTCTAAATACACCACCGATCCTTGTCGTCCTGCAGGTCCGGATGTACTCCAGGGCGCTAGCCGTCATCGGGGGCTTCCTGGTCCTGGCCAGTGGAGCGGGGGAAGTCTACAGGCAGAAGGCTCGCAGCAGATCGCTGCAGTCCACTGGCCAGGTCTTTTTGGGAATCTATCTCATCTGTATGGTGAGGCTCTGATTGGAAGAAGAACATGATCCATGGCTCTATTATGCATTTATTTTTCTGTTACCTTACCTGCGTTTCCACTGTTTTCTCCACTAGGTGTACTCGCTGCGGCACAGTAACGAGGACAGACAGGCCTACCTGAACCACATCGCAGGGGGAGAGCTCACTCTGATGCTCATAGAGGTGCTGTTTGGCGTTCTAGCTCTGGCCTTCCTCACTGGGTACTACATCCGGATGGCCGCTCAAATCCTGGCCACCATCCTTCCTCTGGTCATCCTGCTCATCGACGGAAACCTCGGATACTGGCACAACAACCGCAAGGTGGAGTTCTGGAACCAGATGAAGCTAATCGGCCACAATGTTGGGATTTTCGGTGCTGTGCTCATCTTGGCCACTGATGGGTAGAAGTCTCTGGCTTTTAAAGACAGTTTTTGCAAATGGGGGTGACTGTGCAGAATGAGATTGTTGTGGCTGGATTGTGCCGAAGCCGCTGCCTGCCTCAGGATTTAAAGCACTCAGCTCGGAGAGCTCAGACGGTTCATCATTAGCTACCAGATGGCAGCTTTCCTTCTACAAGAAAAACACGTTTCCTTTACACTTTTTAAATAGCAAATGGTTTTATTCATTTGGTTTCTTGTTTACATTTTGTTATGCGCTGAAACTTTACAACATGAGTGAGTATTATGCATTTGCATTATACTCCCCTGGCGAAATCTTGAAAATCACAATTCATGTTTCAAAATTTCCAAGTAAATGAAAACTGTTCTATAATGGTATGTTGCTTTTAAGATGTACAAAATGTTTTTCAATAAATTTAAAGAACACAAGAATATCAACCGAAAAATATTGTGTACATCATTCATATGTAGTGATAATATTATCTGCTGCTTTACTGTGTTGGACAGATTAACTGCAACCAAAAAATACAAGCATTTGTTACAAAAATGCACCATATTTTCTTTGTTCTTTGATCTGTCAGTTGAGATTGTTCTTTTTATTGTAAAGATTATAAGGCATAAAAATAGAAATTAATTTTGTAGATTCTTTAATAAAAGGTGTTGGCTTTGAGTCCAATAGAAACTGAAGGATGAAAAAGTTTCTCCCAACTTCTGCATCAAGAAAACAGTCCTACTCGATGCAATAAAAGGCGGGAAACGATGGGATTTCTTGGTTCTGATACTTTCAATAAATAGAGAAAAAATTCCAGTATCTCAGTATTTGACCTGTGAATGTCAAGGAGTTGGTCAAGCTGAAAATTGGTTGTTAGACTTTCTTAATTTATTGTATTTTGCATTTTTTATGGCTTATGATAGAAATAAATTCCCTGCCTACAGATATCTGGACGTGCTTGATAAGTTTGCTTACCCTACATAAAGAGCAAGTATTTGACACCATACCTTAGACCTGCATCAGTCTTGATTTTTTTTTTCTGTTGTGATTATGCAACATTCTAGATGTGACATAAATATTGCATAATTACAGCAATAAAAACCAAAGAGAGTGCTGCAGATTTAAGGTATGGCGTCAGCTGGATTTATTCCAAAACTGCATTAAACGCAAGATGAAATGTATTCACTACTTGGGCAACTTCTGGAAGTAAGTGGTTGCTGTTTTAGAGTGATATCAGAGAAAACCTTTTTGACTTTTATTCATTAAATAATTGAAAACTATTGATTTCCTTCCATTTCACAGTAAAACATAACTTTGGATTAGTCTAGCCAATAAAAAGAAATCCAACTGTTTATATTTATGCTGATGACATGATTCAACATGAAGAACATTTAAGTTTCAATATTTTTGCAAGTGATTTATACATTGTGGAAAGCCTTTTAGTAAAACTAGTGAAAGGACAGAAATTAATGATAATGTTTTGGATTGTTTTCCACTAACTACATAAAAAAAAAAAAAACACCCACTTGGTCTTTCTCCAGTGGCTGTTTCATGTAGTGTCCAGCAGGAGGCCATCTGTGTGTGTCAGAGCTCCATCCTTTAGCCAATCACTTGTCTGAAGACTCTGCATCACTCGCAGCTTGTTTGCTCTTACGGTTGCGCTCAGCTTTGACCAGCGCACCGATCACTGCCAGCATCACGGTGATGGTGATGACCAGCACCGACGCTGTCTCCGCCATGCACAGCTGGCTGTCCATGGACACGAGGGGGCTCCCAGCCTGCTGAGGAGGGGCGTGGCAGAGGATGGCCTTGTAGTCCTCTACATGCAGGTGTCGCACGTGCTGGATCTTACCAAAGACGCGCTGCAGGTCACAGTCACAGGTCCAGGGGTTGAGGGACATCTGCAGATGGGTGTTGATAGTCTTCAGCTTCAGGAAGGTCTTGAACTTGATGTGCTGCAGCTGATTTCCGCGGAGGCCCAGCAGGGTCAGACCGCGGAGAGGGGCCAGAGCTTCGGCCTCGATCGCTGAGATGTTGTTGTGGCCGAGCAGGAGAACCTCCAGGGTCTGCTGGCGGCTCAGCAGCCCATCTTTGAGCACGTTCAGCTTGTTTCCCTCCAAGTGCAGGAGGCGCAGTCGAGAGAGGCTGTGGAAAGCCTTGGTGTCAATCGTTCGGATGCGGTTGTAGCTCAGGTCGAGCTTCCTCAAGTTGTCACAGTTTCTCAGGGAGGAGGAGTCAACGTGCTGCATCAGGTTGTGGTCCAGCCGCAGCTCCTGGAGGGAGGTCAGATGGAGAGTGAAGTCCTGAGGCAGCCAGCGCAGTCGGTTGAAGCTCAGGTCCAGCCTCTCCAGAAACTGTAAGGATGAAAGAGACTGAAACCCAGACAGCCAGTGAGAAAGGGTCACTCTGAACTGTCGAGTTCATTTTCTTCTTTTGTTTCTTTAGCATTTAAAGTTTCAGAGATTACAAGGCCATCATAGGTATACCATTCAAAAATTGAAACAGTTTCTAAACAGAAAATGTAATGTCCTGGCCCAACGAGTGTTGTATCTAACCTTAATAAAGGAAGGAAGGAAGAATGAAGTGTGGTAGAAAAGACTGTACAAGAAACAGGGTTGCTAACACAAACAGGAATCCTAAGATGTGATGTTCTGCACGGTGACTATATACAAAAACAAGTTAATTGAAGTTGGCAATAGTGTAAACCAATCACAAAAATGTCACTTTGCATTGATGAAGTAATTTATGCACAAGGAATCCTGGCCAAGAACTGAGAGCATTTACTGTCTAGTAAAGGGACGTACTATTCAATACACTTGAAACTTTGAATAATTTTATTTTGATCTCATGCAATAGTCAAAATTTCTGAGACAGTTGTTTTTCTGGTTTTTTTTTGGGGGGGGAGGGAAGGGGCGTTGTTACATTTTCATTATTCCATCCACTCTGAGTCTAGTGAATCTAAATAACTGGAATAATAACTGGAATAATTTAATCTTTCGATAGTATTTTATGTCAATGAGTTGTGTTAAATGTTGCAGATTAGAATGGAAACTATTAAAAAAAGAGAAGAAAAGCAGAATAGTTATCAAGACAAATAGCTCAATATTTCCATCACATTTTTAAACAGTAATTCAGTCTGGGAAACAATTTGGAATTATTTGGAAAACTTTCTTCTGTTTCCATTTAGAAAAGGAGTAAATTGCTATCTTAATGTGTTGCAGATTTGTCTTTTGTTTGCCAAATATTCAACACAATTGCATACAGAGCCCCAGTTTGCATTCACTCATCGACAATTCATCAGCCAGGGTGACATATACATAACTTCAGGGTGGATTAATGAAACATGCAACTTGAATCCTTTTGAAAACGACTATTAGAAGCAGAAGTTTGGAATTTCCTACAAATGTTCTCTAATTCATAATTGGACAAATATATTTTTACTGTCGTCGTTTTCTGGAAGAATTTAGAAACACATGTAGACTCAACCTCATTTTAAATAATAATAATAATAATAATAATAATAATAATAATAATAATAATAATAATAATAATAATAATAATAATAAGCTTTCACCAGACCTGTGGATGCACAGCATGTATGCTGTTGTTGGACATCAGTAGGAACTTCAACGACCACAGTCCCACGAACGAATCACTGCGCACCTCTCTCACCCTGTTCCCGCTGAGATCCAGCAGCCAAGTGCCGTGGGAGACACCGGCGGGGACCTGGTCCAAGCCCTGAGACCTGCAGTCCACCAGGTCGGAGGACTCGTAGCAAAGGCAGGGGCTCGGACACTGCCTGAAGCCCGACATGATGCTCGGAGGCGGCAGCAGCAGAAGCAGGGGGATCAAGCAGAGCATGTTTGTGCGCTCGGAGTGAAGACTCTCCTGCTGAACGCCATGGCCGGGCCGTCCGTGCGCACACAGAGCAGAGCGACGCATCTGAAACACGGCGAATATGTTTTCGCGAACTGCGTGGAAATGTGTCATTTCAGCAAACTCCCGAGGCACACGCATGGAATATTCCCGATTAGACGGGATTATGGGCTTAAACTGATGATCACATAACCAAATCTGGGGAGAGAACCTGCAGTCCGTTTTGAACCCTTTCCCACATGAAGGATTTACATCTGCTTCTCTATATGGATACATCTAGGGCAGATGCATGATAGCACTCGGTTTATCCTGTTTAGTTCTACATTACATAACAACGAATGGATTATCTATAGACCACCAGTCTATGCAGACAGACCGGACTGAATCTGAGCATCTTTTGTAAATTCCCAACAGTACAGAAACAGGTAGATTTCCAGAAGTTACTTTATTGCGGTATTTTAGTCCAAATGTTACTTTTTATATTCATGGCTTACAGTTAATGAAACTTAAAATGTTACCTTTTGGAATCGCATCAGGCTACACCCAGAAACACTCCTGGGCTCCTTCTGCTTGAAGAACTGCATCAGTGCAGCGTGTAATGGAGGTGATCAGCTGGTGGCTCTGACTGTCTCTCTCGAGTTGGATCTGGAGTTTCTCACTTTCCTCTTCACAATACTCCACACATTTTCTGTGAGGTTTAGGTCAGTCCAGTTTGCCGACAAATCAATTCACAGCAATATCCTGATTATTAGTGCTGGTTCTATTGGGCCTGCAATACTGTGGCAGAGAGCTGCTCTGACAAAACACAGGAGCAGCAGCAGATGACATGACCCCAAATCATTACTGACTGTGGGAACTTGGATTCTGTAGCTCTCCAATCTTCCTCCAGAATCTGGGACTTTAATGTCAGACATGCAAGATTCACTTTTATCTCAAAATAGAACTTTGGAAGACAGAACAAACCAGTTCTTTTGGATCCGTTCAGTCCGCTACTTCAGTTTTTTGTGGCTTACACCATTTTCAGTATTACCAATGATTACATAGGCCATCATGTTCTGTATTAAAAACCCTTAACCATAACTTTCTCTTAAGTGCCAACTCCAGAACTTACCTATAGGATTTCCAGAGGCTGATGAAATACAAGTAATTTTGGTCGAGACCCTAAACTGCAAGTTACATGTTAAAGGGATAACCTGAGCATCTGTGGAATAGTGAATTATGATGATTATAAACATGTCCACCTACAGTTTCAACCTGTATTCATTTCGTCTCAACCCTAATCCCTATCTCACAGGTACTTCCATAATTTGAATCAATTTCCATCAACACATAACCCTCCCACACACAATCTTTACAAACTGCTCAAAAAGTTGTTGAAAATTACAATATTACAGTCAGAATTTTTGTTACTTTTATTTTAGAAAATGTCCTTTAAAGTGTGGCATTTCAAGTCACATTTTGTTTTAAAATACAGAAAATACAGACAGTAGAACATGGATACAGAAAAAAAAAAAAAAAAGGAAACAATGACAGAAAATAAAGCTAACAAGCCTTTCTGACTGCTCTAGTTTTCTCTTTGAAATGGAACTGAAGGCAAAAGGAGGAGGAGGGCAGAAAAAGAAAAAAGAAAGGTTTTAGGGGACAAAAAGAGGGAGGGAAAATGGAGGAGGGAGGCGGGGCAGGATAGGATGAGACAAGTTAGTTAAGGAAACTATGGTTTGCTTTATGGATCATGTTTAAATTATTCTTTATAAAGTCTAATTTAAGATTTAATCTTTCTTCTCTCTCTTTTTTTGTCTTTTTCATTTAATGGTATTTTGATCTTCAGGATCCAGGGCCCTCAGCGCTCCTCCTTGTGGTCTCGGACTGAGGACAAGGAATGCCGACTTTGTCTGGCAGTGGGAACAGAACCACCCGCGTCGCCTTCCCCCGGCCGGTCCACACTGCCAACTCAAGAAGATAAAGTGGAGTCCTTCTGTGTTTGCTGTGCTTGTGAACGTTGCATGGACTTCTGACTTTCCACGTCTCTAAAATGTTTCTCAACCTGCAACAACAGAGAAAAGAGGGAAAAAAAGGAAAAAAAAAAAAAGAAAAGAAAAAAGGTACATTTAGAACTAATCTCCAGCACTGCCGGGAAAAAATATTCACAATTTAAAAGGGAAAGAACAGTTTGGTCAAGGACATGCTTCAAGATTTGTTGTTTTGACTAAAACTACACACACACACGAAAAAAAAAGGTAAAAGTAAAATAATCTGCCAGTGTAAGTAGTACTTTTATTAAATAAAAGTACTATAATCTGTGAGAATGACCCAAAATGTCATACGGTTGGACTAAGATCAGGAGAAGGAAGCAAACAGTAAACCCAATTTGCAAATGGATGTATTTCTAATACAGAAGGACTCAGCTCTGCCTGATCAGTTTCCTATTCCCTGCACGTTTTCCAATGACTAACTCCAAACATGTTGCATTGCAGTCAGACTGTTAACTCAGTTGAGAGACTGTCTGCTTCATGAATGAATTTTAAAGCTGTTTTCTTCTGCACTCTGCCCTGTTGAGTGTGCAAAAAAACAAAAAAGAGACTAAAAACAGATTTAATCAGGGAAACATCTGTCAGTTACGCCACCGCTGGGGTTTCTGAGAACACTGGCGATATTCTGCTTTGTGCAACAAAACAGGAGACTGCAGGAATACAGACAAATCCCACATTTTTTCCTCCTGAAGACCTCTTTAGGTCAATGTGCAATTAAACTTTTAAATACAACTAGAACAAAAGAACCCAAAAAACAATAAAAATCAGACACTGCTCTAGTGCGATACATAAACATATTTGTGCACATCTCCACAAAGTGCTGAAGTAGATAATAGAAAGACTTCAAATGTTAGAATATATATATATATATATATATATATATATATATATATATAAAATCCATATGAGACACTGATATTTAGGTCCAAGGAAAATGGATGGAAGGTTACAATTTGATCTGTTTGTGAGATGGAAAAATGGCTCGCCTCTTTCGAACATGGGCTGATGTACTAATATTTATCGCCATTAATTGAGTTACTGGATTGAGGATCAAATTCAACTTCAATAAAATATGAGCTTCAGTTTCATATTCTAAGAAATGAAACCATAAAGTTTTTAGGTTGAGAAAGGAAATCTATTGTGACCAATGTGTTTTATTGCCAACATTAATCAATATCTATTCAAAGCTTTAAGTGCATTTCAGACTCTACATGCCTCACCAAGTTAAATAAAGACAAGCAGAGAAACTGACTTTGGTAACTTAACTCGCAAAACATCCAGTTAGCTGGACTTTGGACCAAACTGGGTCATCAACAGAACAATGAGCCACAGAAGCAAATCTACAACAGAATGACTTAAAAAAAAACTATATGAAGTGCAGCAGTGGGACATTAGGAGAACTATAGAGAAATTAATCTCTGCAAACCTAAACAATCTGAAACAGTGCTGTGATGAGTGGGCTTACATTTTTTCCACACTGTTGTGAAATTGAGTCAGGCTGAACAAACTACTCCGAGTTACTTAACAGCTAATGTTGGCTCCGCAAGCCACTAAATATGGAGTATCTTATTCTCACACATACATTTCCTCTCCTTTAAATAAATAAACTGTAGCAAAACAGTAGCTGGTAAAAATCAAGTAACTTCTATTACATCCCGATTCACAGTGTACTGTGTGGTTCCAAGTCATACTTACTATTTTGCGTACGTGACTTAAAGCGCTTCCCTCTTTGCCTCTGCAGTTCTCAACCTGATAAGGCGGTGAGATTACAACGTCGTCCATCACAATAATGTTCTTCTCCTGCCATTTACAGTCTTTGATGCTGCAAAGAGACATTTTTCACTTTTCATGTTTTAAAAAAAGAAAATTCACAATACAAGCAATTGCAACATGAATAAAATTGTTACAATGATAGTTTTTCCGTCAGCATGGTGTTCCAATGACTTAGCAGCTCACTTCAGTGTGGGCATCAACAGCGGTGAAAGATTTTAGAAACATGGAAAGGGATTTCAAGAACCACCTTCACTTATCCAGGACAGGGGCCACAAGACATCACATCCGTGGAGGTAAGCCCCTCCTGGACCATGGACAACATCAGAAGCATCTTAAGCTGGCCTAACAAGACTCAGTCGTCTAAAATCACCTTTTCAGATGAAAGTGGAACTTATTTGAATACTAGGATTTTGGCGAAAGAGTGGTGAGGCTCTAATTTTAAGTTGTTTGTTGTGATCGTGAGTGAAGCCTCTACACTTTGTGATGATGGCTAGATAAATTAATGGAAATGAAAACTGAATTTCAGTTTGGGGAGCCACGCAATCTAACGCCATTGCACCGTCAGCATTTTGCGTTTTGTCAAAATTCCTAGTCAGCGCCACCATTGACATGGAAGTTTGAGCAATCCAACTTTATTTCTTCTGAAGACGAGCAGGGCTCGGCACCTACCTGTCTTGCCAAAAGCAGTGAAACCTGTTTAACCATAGCGTCTAACTCAGAGATAAACCCATAGAATGCGTTTCCCAACCCTGGTCCTCAAGGCACACTGCCCGGCATGTTTTAGAGGTTTCCCTTCTTTAATGCAACTCATTCAGCTGATTGCAGTTCAGCAAACACCTGTTAATTGGAATCACCTTTGCTGAAGAAAGAAGACACCGAAAACATGCAGTGGACCAGGGTTGGGAAATGACTCTGAAAATTGAGACGATGTGACACCAGACCCAAAGATGAAGACAAGCTGAAGGCCACAATTAAAACCAACTGGATTTCATGCAACAAGAGTCATAACCAAATGCTGGCTGCATATATTTTAGGGTTGCCAGGATACCAACATGTCAAGCTTGACACAAAAGTTCAAACAGCTCAAAAAAAACCCAAAGCAAATATTGGGGAACAAAAAACAAATCTACTACTACATCATGAGCCCCCCGCACCCTTGTAAATTAAAGTTAATTTACAGATATGTCAGGAGAGAATTAAATACATTTGAAGGGAAATACAATCCCTCATCAGGAAATGCCAACCCAGTCCTGAAACTCTATGGGTGGGCATTTATTATATAGTTTATCATTTAGGGTGAGAAATTTCTTAAGGATTTTGATTTATCCGTCGTCACCATAAATTCCAACTAACGACATTTAAAAACACCCTCACAACTGTCCGTATTGTTGGGATTGTTAGTTTAATCTCTACTGTTTGATTAATGAATATAACATTTCAAAATATGATTAAATGTATTTAACTGTGTGCCATTTTATGTGACTGGT